TCTGCATAAGGTAATTAAAAATTGACAGGTCACACAGTAAGCAAAGAACTCACAGTCACAGAGAAAATGCTTATCTGAACAAACAACACTTTGAAAATCAAGAGAACTTGTACTTTACTCAAATCTAATTTGCTCAACTTTTACTTTAAATTGAATAAATGGCACAGTGAGTTGTCTTTACTTTCAATGCAATAAGGAAACACACAATAAAATGATAAAATGGACTCAATAAAGCTTGTGCAAAATAAAAAAAAAACTGGGACACAATTCACTGGTAATAAAATAAAAATGGCTCAGAAAGAATAAAATATTATGCACAGAACAGAGCATATGAAACTGCACTGAAATAAACTGTAGCAATATTGCAAATGACAATTGCTAATTAAAAAGTACTGCACAACACTGCATAAAATTTCTGCAAGAAAAATTTTAAAATGGCAACACAATATTCCCACACGAATTTTTGGGCAAAATAAATCAATGTGCAATATTAAAAATTATTACACACACAAGAAAAGAAATATATCAAGGAATGAAACTGGGAACACTTTGACTCTTAACTGCACTCAAGCAACACTTACAAGCAAAAGAACAATTTACTCTAAAAGAAGAACTTAAAAATTGCACTAAGAGTGAATTTGTTCAATGAAACACGAAAAATAATAGGTGTTAAAACACAGAACAAAAAAATTTGAACACTTACAGTGATGCAGAACACAACACATCAACATAAACACAATACTAGAATTTTCTTGCAGTGAAACTTGATGTGTGAAAACTTTGATAAAAATAATTATCTTGCTTGCACAAAACAATGGCACTATTGTCTGTGGAAATAAGACAAATTAGACACTGGCTAAATGAAAAGGATATGAACACAAGAATGTTCAACACACAGGGAACAAAACAAGAATACACAAATGCTGGGATGAAAGAAATATATATAACTGAGACAACACTGAGTTGTCATGCAGAATATAACTAAATAAATTACTGAAATACTTCACTGGAATACTGAGAACACTAGGTGATTCTGAAGTGTAAACACAAGTTCTATACTGCTCATATGTTGCACACACAACAAGGAAAAACCACTAAGTACTTACTTCAAGTGTATAAAAAGACACACAACACAACAGACATAAGATAATGCACGAAAATTAACACTGATTAAGGAGATTATCAAATTATTGCCCAAACATTATATAATAAACCCCTGAGTCTGAAACACGAGTCACTGAATGTCACAAGAAAATCACTGGAACACAAAAGAAATGTCTCAACACTCGCAAATGTTCTATGAAAAATATTATCGCTGTAACGACTTGGTGAAGAATAAGGTTGATGGTTAGTGGAGAGTAGAGGAGGACTGGTTGCTGACTTGATCACTGACCTCTCCACACTCGAAGAATTTGTGGCTTAAATCGATGATAGACTTCACACAGGAGGCTTTTAACGGTGGCGCCACTGCGAAAAACACACTCTAGCTCTTGACCCCCTATGTGGTCCTTAAAATATGGTGCTATAACCCTAGTAGTTTACCAAACACAGTGGTAGTGGTTGAGTTTGTGGGTAAACAGGGCTAAGGTGTCTGAGGCCTCGTGGTGAGTTAGTGGGGTTAGCAGGGCTAAGACCGAGACCGCGTGGTGAGACACACGTGGTCCGTGGGCCTCACTGATGACACCCACACTGGCGCAAAGATATTCTAAGCCGGCTGGCTTAAAATACACCCACGAAATACCACAACACCACAGGGATGAAAGAGAGCACTCAGAATGGCTTGGAGATTGAATCACAAGCGATAAAGACTACTCACTTGGCTTACTTGAGTACTGGGGCAAGACACCTGGGTTAGTTGCTAGCTGGCTTATCTTAACCCTTCACACAGAATAGCTTGATACTTCTCACAATGAGAACAGCAGGGGTGGAAGCTGGCTTGGCAAGCAAAGGAACTGGATGGAGTAGACTAGGCTGGACTGGACTCCCTCACCACAGATTGGAAGCTGGCTTATTTTGCAAACTCGGGTCAACCCCTCGGGAGTGATGCAAATAAGCAGATAACACTAATACAAAGAGACTGACCCGTGAATAATGTAGTAGCTGGTAGAAACTTGAGAGAGTAGCTGACTTGAGGTAGCAGGCTTGGCTAGGTCGGCCTATTGGCGACACGAAATGGCCGTCTTGCTGGTCGAAAGAAATCTCCGTACATCGGCGTAATTATCAATTTTACGCCCACACCGCTGCCACCATTTATCGTAGGGGTTCTTAAATGGAGATATCGAGGGTTGAAGGTAGACACACTTGTTGGATGGTAACGATATATTGTCAGACTGTGATGATGGGAGGTGGAGCCCAGCCTCTGCCTTGTCCTAGCCTATGGTCAAACACCGACTGAGAGAGTGGCAGAGGTACGAATGTACACATGTGCATCCCGTGATGTCACACAAACAGTCACAGGCCTAGGGATCTCCTATCTAAAGCACATGGATGATACTAATATGTTATACAACACAGGGATCAGCAACTATGCTGACATGAGTTGCGTATGCTACCAACCGAGCCAATGGATACCACATTTCACAGCCTTTCTTTTGCAGTTTCACTCGTGTTTCATTGTGTCAGTTGTTTTACAGTTTACAGTCTGTTGAATAATTATTCATGTTTCACATTGTTCCATGTAATATTACACGTGTTTCAGTGTGTCACTTTTAATATTAAACATGTTTCAGTTAGTTTGTATGTAATATTTAACAAGTTCAATTATGCCACTTACAATTTTATGTATAATTTGAATAATGTCTTATATTTTCAGCTGGTGTGTCCTTTACAAAATTTTTAGGAGCGTCTTCACAGAGGACTTTTAACTGCATAGCCTGCAGAAGCTTCAAGTGCATAGTAAGCAGCATTATCTACGTGAGTATCAGAAGCAACGTTAGTAGCATCGTCTGCAGCATTAGCTGCAGAAATATAAGAAGCACTTTCAGCAGAATTCTCTCGGCGAGTATCAGTAATCCACTAGCAGAATTATTAATAGAAGTATCAGGAGATCCACTAGCAGAATTATCAATAGAAGTATCAGGAGATCCGGCACATTATTTATTTCATCACAAGATATCCCATCTAATGTGCCATGGCTTTAATATCAAAGGAGGAAAATAATGGATTCAGAATTTATTAAAGCTTTAAATCAGTGTGGCAGGGGGTTTTGCATATTATATTTCGCTGGGGGACACCGAATAAAGCTGATCATATAAGGCTGGATGAATACTTGAAAAACTTAAATAAAACATCGTCAGCTAACTATTTAAATCTCAAAAGTAGTCAACGAAAGTTTAACAGAACACAAAAGAATTGATTGCGAACAGTTCAGATGGAAGAGGGTTTGATGTGCCACTGCTCTGTACAAGTATTAAACTGGCTTGTGAGAACGTGGCACCTTTGAATGATCCAAAATGGAACGATGAGAGCACAGAAATGGAGTTCTACATTACTTCTGTTAAGAACATGAGGAACGATGCTCTTCATAGCAAACTTGCTGTTCCTGATGATGATTATTTTAATAATGTAAGTAAGCTTAGGAAGCTGTTAACTGAGTGTCTAAAGACATCTGGAGTACGTTATGGGAAGAAAAAGAATGATGTGGAAAAGGAGATCAAGCAGATGAAGGATGATCTGGACTATATCATGAATGAGATTCTCGGAATTGAGGACATTATAAAGTACTGCAGTGATGATATTAAACAAATAATCATAGATGATTGTTGTAATAAACTGAAGGACATCGTCCCAAAAATCACTTATGTCAGCCCAGTGTCTTTCATCATCGAAAACTTTAAATTTGAAGTAGATAAAATTTTTGTCAATATTGAAGTTAAACGTGGAAAACGTAGAGGTGATGGAGAACAAATACATTATCAAGATCTTCTCATACTTGCCCAGACCACATCTGTGTCATCATCTCTGAGTTCTGCTACACAACAACAGAGTCCCTCGGGAAGACCTCGGATACTCTTACTTGAAGGTCTGGCAGGAGCGGCAAGACCACTCTATCGACGCTGGTAATAAAGGAATGGATAGACGGTGGTCAAGGTCACATCAGAGGCTTAGATAATTACGAGCTCCTGCTGTGGGTACAGTGCAGAGACACTACTATGATCTCCTACCAGGATCTCCTAGACCGACTTTTAGCAGATGTTTCAGCAAAATTCAGAAATTTTTTGCCTACATTAATGAAGCTTTGTAAGATCCTGATAGTAATTGACGGTCTGGATGAATTTAATGACAACTCTAGAAGATTAGTTACAAGTCTTATGCAAGAATTCCGAAACTCTACTTATACTACATTTTTGTGCACCTCAAGACCTGAAAAAGTAGAAATGTTTACGTTGACTATTCCCGAAGACTATGAAGTGATAAATGCTGAACTTCTAGGCATAACCAGAGAACATATGCCAGAGTTTGTACGTCGGACACACCAGGAGATAACTAAAAACAAGAAATGTCACAAAAACGTTGAAGAACTGATAAATAAGGTGATGAAGGTGAGAGGTTTTCAGAAACACTTACGACTGCCAATGAATTTAACATTTTTTGTTTACATCTGGGACCAAGAACCCGATCAGTTAGATGTAATGACCATCACTCAGACAACGCTCTACCATAAAATACATGAACTTTGTCAAAAGAAGTTATTAAAGAGATTGGAAAATTATCTACAGACAAAGACCATGGTTAAAAGTGACCTCGAGTACAGAGTTCAAGATATATTGAGTTTGATATATGTAATATCACTAGAAAGCCTCTCATGTGAACAGATGACCCTAGAAAACGTAACGGTAGAACGACTGATTTCTGCTTGTGAGAAACACTGTTTTACCATCCGATGAATACTTTCTGCGTTCTTTAGTTTGAAGCCAATTTGGACTTGGAATGGTATCGAGGAACGGTACTCTTTACCTCACAAGGGGATCCAAGACTACTTTGGTGCTCTGCATATTGTGATGACACTCAAGCACCAGCTACAGTCACCTGTGCAACCCGTCTCATCTAGCAAGCACTCCACACCACCTGCCAGTATCAGGGGAGTGTTAAAACAGAGCATCAGAGCATCCTGGGTCGACATGACCCTGTACAATAATGTTCTGATGCATGTGGCAGGGTTGTTGTACCTGTTACTTGACCGAGTTCCTGAGGTCATTATTCAGGAAGTTGTCCATCTCCTGTACCAGTCTGGTATGAAGGGTAAGTTGAAAATTGATGCCGTGCAACCAACAACACTGAAGAAAGGTGAGGATGAGTCTTGCATGAGCGACGTGAACGAGGATGCGATGTCTAGCATGGCTAACGAGAACAAGGACTCTTCTAGCACGAGTGATGAGGACGAGTCCTCATTTAGCTTTAACGACGAGGACGACGAGGAAGAGGACGACGAGGACGAAAACGAATCTGTAGTGAAGTACAAATGGATCGACCTATTAGAAAACACACGATGCAATTATGACGTAGCTAAGGCAATAGCTCCCTTCATCCACACTCAGGATATATACATTAATGATTATCGTATAGAGTGCTATACAGCTCTTCTACCACATATCAGACCATCAGAGTTTACTCATTAGCATCAAGGGTGAGCCTACTTCAGTGCCTGGCTTGCAGCACCTACTGAATATTCTTGCCGCCCCAATCACCACCGCTGCCTATCACTGGACCTGCACCACCACTACCTTCAGGATAACACAACCATCACTTCTGACGACATCCTACAACTTTTAAAACCTAGGTAAATTTCTGCCATCGTTGATGTTACTGGTGATAACATTGTGTTGACGTTGGGGGTTAGTGTTCCTGATGTCGATGTTGCAAATATTAATGTTAATTTTCACTCTATTGATGCTGTTGGTGTTTATGTTCTTGGTGAAAATTGATATTGATGCTTTTGATTTTTAGGTTATGTTGACAATGTTGGTGTTGTTTTCTGTTGAGAGTGTTGGTGTTGATACTTTTGTTGTTGATGTTGACAGAGTTGGAGTTCATGTTCACGTTGTTGATATTAAAGTTATTGATGTTAGAGTTGTTAGTGTTGATGTTTGTGACATGCTATGAGTATGTTACATTTTATTTGGTGTATGTCGCACACCTTTATAGCCATTCCCTCCCGACCAGCAAAACCAGGTGCTAAGGCACATTCATCACCTTCAAAACTACCATTAGAAAACATCTTATCTCCCTGATACACCCCGTCAACTAACTACACGAATACCACCTGGTGGTTCACACTTACACTCACTCACCCATTTGACCATAAACAGAAATATTAATCTCAATCTTAAAATAATGAATCCTATGATACTCCAATACTGAAACTATGTACTGTGCCAAAACAAAAGCATTCACATTGCTAAACTCACAAACTAGTATTTAGTCACTTAGCCATAATACCAAAATTACCTCATAATTTGTAATATTTTAAAATAAAGAATTAAACTAAGTCTGCCCGAAATGCCTAGCCATGCTAGGCGTTCTAGTGGTACACTCTGTAATCATTATTTAACTACATGTAAACCACACAACAACCAAATTCTGTAAATTCAACATTGTAATCTTTATAGAGAATAAACTTTGAATTTGAATTTGAATTTGGGAAAGGGGATAAGGAGTAGGGGCTCCCTCGTTACACTTACACCTTGAATCAACCAGTGAAGCCACACGGAAACACTCGTGACTTAACCTTGGCAACTTGCCTCCAAGGGTTGGTCAAAGACGGTTCTCACCGTGTTTCTTGTTTCGTTGCCTTACTGTACATATCCTCTATATATACTGTATATACATTGCTTGCTGTTTGGTGAAGAAAATATAAGTCTTTACTCTCGCTACTGCCTTTTGTTTGTTCCTAGTTTCTACCTTGTTATCGTGCTACAACCAGTTGTGCAAGCCACTGGACTATACCCGTGTTTGTAATATGGGGCCTGTCTGTGATTCTGAGTCTCTGTATTGTCTCAACAAACCTGTCTATAATATTGCAAACCTGCTAAATCGTTGTGTGCTACTGCTTCGTGTAGTGTTGAACGTATAGCAAATTAACATGTTATAGTGCAGCTGGGTTATGCCACCGACACATGTTAGGAGGCATGACTCACGAAATCATAATGACATGATTGCAAACAAACCATACCACGGGCGGGGATAGAACCCGCGATCAGAGTCTCAAAACTCCAGACCGTCACGTTAGCCACTGGACCAGCTGGTCCAGTGGCTAACGCGACGGTCTGGAGTTTTGAGACTCACTGATCGCGGGTTCTATCCCCACCCGTGGTATGGCATGTTAGGAGGTTGGTGACTGAATGTACCCAACAAAAACCTGTCCAGACTATTGCTCGTTTTGTTGGTATAGAGGATCAACGAACTCTCACTTCTGCACAGCTTGTGAGTGTATATGCAACAAATTAAGGTTCGGCTCGTGTTAACACGGCGTTCCAACCTGAGAGTGTAGCTGCTATGGGAACTATTAATCGCGGATCCTCGCTTCAGTACTTTCAAAATAGGGGAGGACAAACTCCGGAGCAACAGGCAAATATCCACCTTGGGAAAACAGGTGGTGAATTGGGGGTTGTCTTCGGAGGAGTCATCTTCGTTAATATTTGAGTTGGCTAAACTCAATCTTAAGCATACTAGAGAGCAACGCGCCCTTTGATAAAGGAGGAATTTGATAGGAGAGGAGACAGTTTCGCCGTACTATGGATGACAATTTAAGTGTTCAGAAATCTGTGTTGCTGGTACCTCGGTTTTCTGAGTCTGAGCCTGAGTAATATTTGAGTCTTTCGAAAATCAGACTTGAGCTTTGTGATGGACAATCGAACATTGGGCAGCACTGGTTCATGCAGCATTATACAGCAAAGTGCAGGAATTTACAGTTGGTTTAAGTGATAAACATTTCGCTAATTACAACGTTATGAAAGCAGGTTCAGAATTTACTGTATGTACTCAGTTGGTCCGTCCCGTGTGGACTTGTTCGTGGACAGTCAAAAACGGTCACTAAATGGTACAAGTTCACCAGTATCGTGAATTTCATTGGGCTAGTGCAAATGATTCAAATTGACAATCTTCTTGAGTTAGTGGGACCGAAATATTAGGGTGTTTTTAGAAAACCGTTCAGTAGCAACTGTTTTGGAGGTGGTTAGACTTGCTGATACATCAGAGGCCAACCACTCCTTTCCGAGCAGTCTTTTAACATTCTTCCAAGCAGCCTGATATGGACAGAGATCATCATGGACAGACGTCTGAAATTCATCAATGGTGGAAACGAGAGTTGAAAAACGACGCCTTACTCTTGCCATAAGCCTGGTTATTATCAAGGCCACTTACCCGAGATAAGTAAACCACTACACCAGTACCATTGGGAAAAAATAACTATGCTTCCTACTGAAACAAATCAGCTGAAATAAGATACCAGACCCTCTCTCAGAGGTACCAACCAGACCCTCTCTCAGAGGTACCAACCAGACCCTCTCTCAGAGGTACCAACCAGACCCTCTCTCAGAGGTACCAACCAGACCCTCTCTCAGAGGTATCAACCAGACCTCTCTCAGAGGTACCAACCAGACCCTCTCTCAGAGGTACCACCAGACCCCTCTCTCAGAGGTACCAACCAGACCCTCTTCAGAGGCACCAACCAGACCCTCCTCAGAGGACCAACCAGACCCTCTCTCAGAGGTACCAACCAGACCCTCGCTCAGAGGTACCAACCAGACCCTCTCTCAGAGGCCCACAACCAGACCCTCTCTCAGAGGTACCAACCAGACCCTCTCTCAGAGGTACCAAACCAGACCCTCTCTCAGAGGCACCAACCAGACCCTCTCTCAGAGGTACCAACCAGACCCTCTCTCAGAGGCACCAACCAGACCCTCTCTCAGAGGTACCACCAGACCCTCTCTCAGAGGCAACCAACCAGACCCCTCTCTCAGACCCACCAACCAGAGCCTTCTCTCAGACACACAACCAGACCCCTCTCTCAGAGGCACCAACCAGACCCCTCTCTAGACCCACCAACCAGTGACCCCCTTCTCAGAGGCACCAACCAGATCCTCTCTCAGACCACCAACCAGAGCCTTCTCTCAGACACACCAACCAGACACCTCTCTCAGACACACCAACCAGACACCTCTCTCAGACCCACCAACCAGAGCCTTCTCTCAGACACACCAACCAGACACCTCTCTCAGACACACCAACCAGACATCTCTCTCAGACACACCAACCAGACACCTCTCTCAGACACACCAACCAGACCCCTCTCTAAGACACACCAATCAGACCCCTCTCTCAGGCACACCAACCAGATCCCTCTCTCAGACCCACCAACCAGAGCCTTCTCTCAGACACACCAACCAGACACCTCTCTCAGACACACCAACCAGACATCTCTCTCAGACACACAACCAGACACCTCTCTCAGACACACCAACCAGACATCTCTCTCAGACACACCAACCAGACACCTCTCTCAGACACACAACCAGACACCTCTCTCAGACACACCAACCAGACATCTCTCTCAGACACACCAACCAGACACCTCTCTCAGACACACCAACCAGACATCTCTCTCAGACACACCAACTAGACACCTCTCTCAGACACACCAACCAGACACCTCTCTCAGACACACCAACCAAGACATCTCTCTCAGACACACCAACCAGACACCTCTCTCAGACACACCAACCAGACATCTCTCTCAGACACACCAACCAGACACCTCTGTCAGACACACAACCAGACACCTCTGTCAGACACACCAACCAGACACCTCTGTCAGACACACCAACCAGACACCTCTCTCAGACACACCAACCAGACATCTCTCTCAGACACACCAACCAGACACCTCTCTCGAACACCAACCAGACTACCTCTCTCAGACACACCAACCAGAAGCCTCTCTCAGACACACCAACCAGACCCTCTCTCAGACACACCAACCAGACACTCTCTCTCAGACACACCAACCAGACACCTCTCTCAGACACACCAACCAGACACCTCTCTAAGACACACCAAGCAGACCCCACTCTCTGAGACACCAACAAGTCTCTGATCACATAGTGATCTCTCCAAACAATATACCCAGTGTCCTACATGCTTACAACTCTAACTCCATCCACCTATTCATAATGACCAACCGATATCCAACAAATTGGATGAAGAACACCTGTGAGGGAAAAGTTCAATAGATAGGAGTAGCAATATAGTAACGATAGTTTTCATTACCGGCTACTAGTTAAGGTAGGGTAAGTCCACGCTCCGCCTTTTTTCCCCTCCCCCAAAGTGATGTTTTCATTGCCG